GGGGCCCCTGTGCTCGGCCCCCGCTGCTGGAGCTGGTCCAGCTTGGAAGCACAGGGCCGTGCTCAGGTCCTGCAGCGGCTGAGGTGGCCTAGGCTAGGCTCCCTACGAGTGACCAAACACGCAGGCCATTGCTGTGGTGTGAGCTGTATCCCCAAGACGTGCTCCAGCTCCACTCAGTTCCTCAGCTCACAGGGCCTTTGGGCAGCGTTCACTGCAGACATCAATCAGGGAGGGGAGGGCCAGCCGGGTGTGGCCATCCCAGATCCAGTCTCTAAAGGCCAAGTGCAGACAGAGACACAAAGCGCTATCTAAGAGGATGGCGGCAGAGGCAGGAGGGACGCTTCCCTAAGGCCAGGAGAGCCAGGCAGTGGGGCCCATGTTACTCTAGCCCTCAGGAGCTGAACAGGCCGCCCCGACCGTGGCCTTGCAGTGCAGGGCTGGGGATATACTCCTATGGGCTAGGGCAGCCTCCCTTCTGGGCCTTCAGAGCTGCAGGTGGAGCCAGAAAGGAGGGGAAGTGGGGGGAAGAGGGGAGGGGGAGGGGAGGATAGAGGGGAACCTCCCTCCCTCATGCGCTGTGCAAGGGCCCTGTGAGCTGAGGGCTGCCTGGTGAGCAACCTTCTCAAAGTAGATAGCATCCAAAGAGGGCCAAGGGTCAAAAGCTCACAGGAACCCTTCTCCCTCAGCCTCCCAAGTGCTGGGGTCACCTGTGTGCACACTACGCCTGGCAGGCTACTGTGTACTTTTTACATACTAAGAGATCCAACCTGCCTTAGTCACTTTCTTGTCTATTGGATTAATGAGACCACTTCGTTACTGTGGCTGATCAGGCCCACAATCTCTCAAACAAGTAGATGGAGGAAATCAATGAGACAAATAAAATGACTTCAGGGTTCCAGGAAGATCCAAACCCTCTGAGATTTTCTGGGGTTTAGACCAGGAACTTCTCTGAGGGTCATTACTTATTAGCTTTTCAAACAAAGGAGGAGGGTAGTAAAAAAGATGCAGAAATCTGGGCAGGACTTGGGAGTCCCTTCAGGGCTTTTCCAGGTAACATGTGATGTTAATTTAGGGGAACTGGGTTATCTCTAACAGTGAGAAGCCCACAGCTGTAGGCCCCTTATAGTCAGTGGGGTTGGAGCCAGAGTCCTCAGCTGGGGCCTCCTCTTGCCCGTTTGAGGCCTCCCAACTTCACAGGGCAATACAGGCCTCAGCAGGACAGTGACTCACAGAGGTTCACTTACTATGAGTCGGCTGCCCATCTCCAGACAAGGGCCTAAGCCTGGGGCAGACTCGCAGGTAAACACAAAAAGCCAACTGGCTAATATTAAATCCTGACTTCATAGTGGTCTCCAACACTTGCCACTGGGACACAACACCTGCAAATTTAAAGGACAGGTCAGCAAGTTCCAAGGCAGGGCAGGGCAGAGGGGCCTGGCAGAGGTGAGCTGCTCCAGCATGGAGGACAGGAAGCTGCGAGGAGGGAGGAAACGGAAGAGAAGGAGCTTCCAGGCCCCACCTCCTACACCAGCCAGCTCTGCACCAGGATCCATCACTTTCCACACCCAGGAGGCCTAGGGCACCCCAGATCTGAATCACACACACCTTTCTTTTTAGCACTTTTTACATCCTTCTTCCTGGTGTCCTTGCCATTTGCTCCAGGTGGTGCTGCCGCCCTGGCATGAGTTTGCCAAGGGTGGAGCCAGCTCTAGCCCCAAGGGCTGCTCCTAGCCCTGCACTTCCTAAACGGGGACCAGCACACTTGGAGCCGGCAGTGTCGGCACTTCACCTCTTCTTCGCAGCACCTCCTTCAGGAACTCACCAGCTCGCATCCACAAGGCAGCGCCAGGCGAAACTGCTCCTCATGGTGCACCAACAGCACCACCCGCCCACCACTGTGCAGCTGCCCCTCCCTACACCCTGGCTTCTGCCAGGCTCGGGGGACCCAGTGGTGCCAACCACGCTTCAGTTTCCTGACCCAAGCCTTCCCCTTCCCCTAAGTCTCATCTCCTTCAAATGTTCTCAGCCTGATCGCAGGTAAATGAGACCATTTCACTGTCAGAGCCTCACACGCGAAGCTTAAAAGCTAAAGAAACCCAAAGAACACAGGCAAAAGCATCAAGAGAACACATATTGTGAAATAAGAAAAATAACCGGTTTTATAATTACACTGACATAGCACACGCTTTGGAGGAGCCAACACAGCCCGTGGCTGCAACCCAGACACTCCAGGGGCGGGTGGCCTGGCGTCCAGACAGCAGCCGCGCCGGCCCAGGGCCTGGAGGTCCAGAGGCTGCGTCTCAGCGTCTTCAGAAAGGAAAGTGCTTTGGAGCTGCGGGGCCAGACGGCTTCTGCTCAGCCCCGCAGGCCCTTCCAGGCGTCACGCTCCTGCCCGCAGAGGTCACGTGGCAAAGGGAACCGGGTGCAGCGGCAGGTGCGTAAGAGCCACTCGTGGACAGGTGCTTGACTCCCCAGGGAGCCTCAGGAGGGGGGCGGTGGGGGTGGAAGTGGGGGCTGGGAAGGCAACACATCCGCCCTCAGCGGCCACCCGTGGCAGTGATGGTACGGAGACGAGTGTTCTCACGAAATACTTGAGTGAGTCCTTAAGGCAGGTCCACAGGACATCGTGCTGGGGCACGGTGGCCACACACCAGCCACGGAAGGGCTGGAGAGAGTTGTTCCTGAGTTAGAATCTGCTCTGATGGCAAACCACTCCACCCCTATGCTTCCCACCAGTGTCCGAGTCACCAAGAACACTTATGGAAACAAGGCTCATGAAAGAGGCTTGGTCTTTACGCGTCCCGTCCGCACAGGCAGTAGAATGCCGACTGTAGAGGCTGGCAACGCTAGTGAGAGGCCTACACGGGCCGGCAGACCTGGCCCGAGTGCGTAGGGCTGTCAGCAGCAGCGTGTAGAGGGAAAACCAGACAACAACTCTGTCTAAGGCGCCAAGCCAGAGGCCTCCAAACGCAGGAGACCGGAGTGCAAAGGGCTGCACTCGCCGGTCGGTGCCAGGCAGGCTGTCCTGCGGCTCAAGCCACCGGCTGCACAGGCCACAGCTCTGCTCCTGCAGCAGCAGCTGCTCATGCTAGGACGCTGACCCCACTTCAGAGCCGCCCTATGAAGAGGAAGAAAACAGCTCTGTTCTAATGGTTGCTGTCACTCACTCCAAAGCAGAACCAAGTCCTGCCCTCCAGCTGGACCTCAGGACACAGGCTCTCTCCAGAGCCGGGCCCAGGAGGCGGGGAGGCGGCCTCGTGGGGACGGACGCCCATGTTCCACATCCAGGCAGCTGGGACTTGGCCATACCCAAGGGACGTATTGCTTTATTTCTGTGCTGAGAAGGTGAGGTCCAATGGGAGTGCCAAGCAGCCCTCCCTGGGCTAGCCGCAGGGGCACAGCCCATCTGCGGGCGCCATTCCCAACGGCCTCATTCTTGCTGGCTGCTTCAGTGTAATAAATAACATTTTATGTACAGGTGTAGTTCTCTCTGGAGGAGGGTGGACAGTGCGCCATCAGGGTCCTTGAGGCGCCCCAACGCGGCTGTGCACACACCAGGACCGGCACCCGAGGGAGGTGGAGCAGACACCGCAGCTGGAGGGGGCTGCTGCTGTCCTTGGACCCAGCGACTGGCCTCAGCTGGCACTGCCCTTGCCTGGCTGCAGGACAGGCTGAAGGGTGCTCTTTGGGGGACTCTCAAGACCACACCGCGGCCCATGTGGCGCAAGGCGCTCAGAGCACCGTGGAGACTGGGGTTGTGGGCACAGCCGTAACGAGGGGTGGGTTCGTGGGAAGGGATCCTAGCAGGGGTGAGCCCAGGAATACAGTGTGGGCCTACGTGCAAAGGGGCATTCACAGGCAGGGTGTGCAGAGCACGTCTCAGGTGCGGTCGGGGCTGGCCTGCCACTGTGCTGGTCACCAGCGAGGCCACCCGGGCTGCTGAGGCCCAGCAGGCACGCGCCAGGTGTCTGCACCCAGGGTAGGCATCATGATGCTCGGTCACCGGGAAGCCCTGCCCGGGCTGCCCCGCCAGGCAGCGAGGGTCACCTCACAGGTTGGTCTCATCCCAGGCAGGGTCGTTCATGCTCTTCAGCACCTTGCGCACCAGCTTCTCCAAGTCCTTGCGGGCCCGCTGCTCCTCCTCAAGTGACTTCTTCATCTTTTTGTTATCCTGAAGGCGAAGCACAGCGTGTGTAGTCACTATCCCCTCAGCCACTGGCCTCCTGCAGCGGGCGCTGTCCCTGCGCCCTGGGGCCAAGGCCACTGCACAATGAGAAGCGGATTGAGGTCCCCCAGCAAGACGCTCAGAGCATAAATGAAAGGCAGCTGATGGGCGCCAGGGAGGGGACAAGAGAGCAGGGACAAGGCACAAATCAGCATGGCCTGAAGGGGTGCTTCTCACCTCCCAGAAGTCTGCACTACTCTGTCAAGAATCATGCTGCAAAATACAGATGACTACTACTAAGTGGATTACGAATGCAAAATGGATTACGCATTCAATCAGTGGTGATTTTATGTAGCATCACTGTTCTTAATGCAATGAAGCAGAAAACAATTTAAAGTTAAAAAAACTTTTTCTCTAAAACAAAAATAGAGATGGAGAGAGACCAATGGCTGTATGTGCTGGGTTCCCAAGAATCACCACCATCTCTTGGTATTGATTTGCTTACGGGAATCAGCTTTTCTCTTGAATTAAAAAAAAAAAAAGATTAAAATGAAACCAACACACCTGTCTCAGCTCTTGGACTTCGTCCCTCAGCGCGTAGACCGTGTCCACAAGGCTCCTGCACAGGGACAGAGCCACGTCAGCATACAGGGCCAGGTGCTCGGGGCCATGCGGGCTGGGCGGAGACCCTCAGCCCACCCGCTGTGTGCGGCCCTGACCCAGCCCCCCGCCCAGCGAGGAAGCCACGCCCGCCCCAGCCTCACTCATGCGCTGTTGGAGACAGCTTACTTCTCCTCGATCACGGTCTGGCCGTTGCTTTTGGTCTCTTCTACTATGATTTTCTCCTCTTCTGGAAGCAGCACTTGAGGAGCAGATTCTTTGCGCGAACCTAGGACAGTTAAAAAGGAAAACCTCAAATGAAAGCCAGGCATGAGAAAGGAACAGACTACACAGTACCACCTAAACACTAACCCCAGCGACTATGCAGTAACAAATTCATCAGGACAGACTGGACAGGGCCTCTTTACCGGCTTCTCCGCTGCCAACCGACTGCAGCTCTCCTGAGCCCACAGCATTACGGAGGACGGGAAATACCAGCTTTTTTCCAATTTATTCAACTGTAGTTTCTGATTGTGGATTATGGGGCTTTTCAACACTAACATTTTCAACATCACAGAGGGCTCTGTCTGCACCAGATTCTAAGTCACTATGTCACCCCAGAAATATAATAAAGATATACCAGACCATGTAGAGCATATACACCGAGTTTATACGTTAAAAGTTGGCAATTAAAATAATTTAATCGTACAGCAACATCTGAAAATAAAGATAAGCAATGGTTTAGAACAAGTGAAGTTTATCTTGGGTTTCTTTGAAAATTTTATCCTCCATTCCCTAGAATACAGGCATCACTTTTCTTAAAAAAAAAGAAAAAAGGAAAAAAAAGAAAGAAAGAAAGTAAACTATTTGCAATATCAGAAGAAAATTTAATACCATTTAACCACATGGAGCACAAAAGCTCGTATGGGACTAATGAGTAAGATCTACCCTCTTGAGGTCAACTGTGAAATCTAATTAATTCAGAACTGGAGGGAAAAGAATCAGACCTTAGGGATGATGCGAGGAGGAAGGGCCTCTTACCGATGCCAGCCTGGCACAGGCGCCATTTGCATTTCTGAGCCAGTGCACCACGCCAGCTGGAGCGGGATGCACTTCAGCACAGAGCACAAGCTCTCACACCGGCGGATGCTTCTCTTCAGAACAAGCGCACTTGGGGTTTGAGACTGGCTGGCTAGCTGCTGCAGCGGTGGCCACCTGTGTGGCTTTGTACTTCTGACATCCCCTTTGTGTCCCTGACACCGGCAGCCTGTGCCTGCGTGTACTACACACCCTTGTCATGTGAGAACTGGAGAGGCCTTTTAAAGGCAGGACTGGGGAGTGAGTGCAGAATGCGACAGTAGCACAGCCCCGCCTGTGACCAGACCCCCAAGCCTGTCCCGCCGGTGCTCGGGGACACCTTGACCTAACACACACCAGAGCTGCCCAGCCACAGGGACATCCTCTGCATGTGCAAAGTCCCGTCAGAGGGGCCCTGCAAGACTGGATGGGCAGGAGCCCCACCAACCTCACACGGTCTTCTGCCCGGGCACAGCAGCGCAGCTCCAGCGAGCCCTCAGGCACTGCTCCTGAGGCACACCTTCCACAGCAACAGCAGGCGGGGCCCTGTGCCAGAGGGCGACTTCAGTCTTAGCGCCTGATACCTTAGGGGCAGGTGATAGTGGCCTGTCCACAGACTCCCTGTCCATGCTGTGGCAGGAGGAGAGCTCCCACAGGTCCAGCTAGTCCACACTGCCGAGTCCAACCTGAGCATGACGGCCTGGCCTCGGGGTTGGGGTGGCACACTTGGCACCCAGAAACCTGGCAATGCAGAGGCAGGCAAGAGACCAATATTGCTAGGGTCTGCGGGCCAGAGGTGGGGCTTCTCAGGCCTCCTGGCGCATGGGCATTACCTGTCTTCAAAAGGAAAAGTTCATTCCTGTGCCATTTGCCCAGAAAAACACGAAGATTCCAAAGCTCACATTTACACCACACACAGAACGCAGAGGCCCTGCTGGGGCAGCCAGCAAGCTGACAGCCAGGGAAAACCAGCTAGCGTCTGCCGACCACCTGTCCTCTCAACTTGCCGCACACTACTCCTGAAGCATGAGCGAGAGGGGCTCCACAGGACCACACTGGGGGGGGCTCCACGCTGCACATCTGTCAGGCACTCTCCGGCCTGTGCCTCACATTCATTCACGCTGCCAAATGCCACAGAAGAGTCACAAAGAGCGGCACAGCAAAGGGCGGCCCCATGACCTGGCCTCCTGAACCACAGGCTTGACTCGCCACTGTTGGAGCTGTCCCAAGGGCAGAACACTGCTTCTGTTGATCTCCTGCCAAACAAATTCATGGCTAGAACCTGGCACCCCCATAGAGTAAGTCACCCGAGGAAAAGGAAGGGCCTGGTGAGCAGAGGCACAGGCTGCCCCGCCTGTCTCCTTCCTCACAGCCTAGTGACTAGACCTGGCTCTCTGCCTCCATCTCAGTGGCTGTCTGTATTCATTGTAATTTGAGGCAGAGTCCTGCTAAGTTGCCCAGGCGGGCCTTGAACTCGCACTCCTCCTGCCTCAGCCTCCCGCATCGCTGGGATTGCAGGCGTGCGCCTCCTGGCCCTGCACAGCTCTTATTCTTACAAGTATGCTGGGAGCACACAAAGCTTCCCTGGCGTGCAATCAAGTGGGGCTTCAGGAAGCACGCTGCGGACAGCAGGTGCCGGCGGCCCCACTGCCGACTGTCTGCGCAGTGCACTGCCGTGGACGTGCCCTGGCAGCTGCGGCGCGGAAGCCCGCACACCCCGCATCCCATCACTGTCAGCTACGATTTCTCCCCTGCTGGAAAGAATCAACAGGTGAGTAAACATCGCTTCCTGCCAATGCAATGTAAGGGGAAAAAATGGTTCAGGTTTTCAGTAAGAACATTCTGGGCCAGCGAGATGGCGCAGTAGAGTAAGTCCCTGCCTGGCAAGCGCAGGGTCCCGAGTTCAATCCCCAGTATGGCAAAAAAAAAAAAAAAGAAAGAAAAAAAGAAAGAAAGAAAAAGAAAATAGAATATTCCTTAGCTAAGTTTATAAACAAGCTGGTCCTAAGTTTTAAGTAGACAGACTTAGATTATCTTAGAAATCATTCAACTATCTTCAGAGGCACACGGCAGTTCCCTCAGCTATGCAGGAATTTAGACCCAGCAATCACAGAATGTCCTAACACCTGATTTATCAGTCCTGGAGACTGAGCCTGAGCTACAGTGTCTCAGCCAGGCCTAAGCTTGGGGGCCTCCTGCCTCAGCCTCTGAGTCCAGGGTTTACAGGCGTGTCACCTTAGTCTGTGTAGCACTTTTAAAGCCCAGTTACGTGGACTCAGAACAATGAACAGTCATGGCCCTAGGACTGCCAAGATCTGTGTTTCTCAAACACACCAGGATTCTGCTGCGCATCACCTCAGGAAACACTAGGCGACAGGCACTTCCCGGAGGTCCCTAACAACCTTCACAACACTGCGCTGGGCTGGCCTCACAGACAAGAAGTCCTGGGTCCAAACCCAGCACCACCCACCAAGGAGCCTGATGAGCCATAACGACTCCTCTGAGCACTGAATTTTTCTTTCTGCAGCAGCACAAACATCTCCTGGCTTTCTGGGCAGAGGCTGGCAAAAAGAACCCTGAGTGTATACACACACAAGCTCAGTCTTCGCCGCTACTGTTCCCTGTGCAGAGATGAGAACAGGAAACAGGAGCAGAGCAAACCAGCAACTGATCCGAAACACCAGCGCAGCACTTTCCTGAGGGCACCAGGGACAGTCATGGGACTATCCCTGTGGGCCTGCTCACAGCTGGGAAACCAGTGACAGTGGCACACAAAGAAGCTGGAGAGGGCTGGGGAGACAGCGCAGTAGAGTAAGCGCTTGCCTGGCAAGCACAGGGTCCTGAGCTCAATCCCCGGTACCGCAAAAAAAAAAAAAAAAAAAAAAGGAGCTGGAGTTACCAGCACACCTGCTTCCATAGCAACATCCCCTCAATGCAAGATGTGGCCCGGAGGCACGGAGACAGGCGCACTGCAGAGCCCAGGTCAGAGCATGAAAGGTGCATGTACCCTGCGCCTGGGGCTCAGACCTGCAGGCGTGGGGACCTCAGTTTGAGAAACACAGATCTGATCAACCCTCCCTGTATCAGGGCCGAAACACCCTGCCCAGGCTGCTGCGGAGTAGGGGTCACCCAGGCTCTGTACCCCACTCGTACCTGCCATCCTGGCTGCCACATACCCGCCTGGGACACGCTGAAGACACAATAGGCTCATCAGGAGCCCACATTCAAGCCCATGGCACACAGGAGGCAGGGGTGTGCACGCAAGGGGTGTGCATGTGCCCAAGGCAGAGGCCACTGGGGTCTCCCATCAGAAGTTGCCCATGCAGCCAGCGTGTGCCACTGGTGTGCGTGGCAAGCCCTCCAACCTCTAGGCCCTCCCTGAGGGCACCAGCAGCCTCAGCTGAGCCGCAGGCTAGCATCTAGTGCTTGGACTCTCCCACTCGCATCACAGGGTGAGACTCTCCAGTCTGGCCACAGGCCACATCACTATAGTCTGAAGCCCAAACTCGTGGCTCCTGCTTGCCATCCATACCTGGTCCTGGCCCAGCACCTGCCACCAGGTGCATCTGCCCTCTCCTTTCACTTTGCTGCCTTTGCTTACGCCTGCTGGGCATGCACTCGGCAAAATGAAGACACTGACCTTACTCTAAATAAAATACTTTGAAAGTTTTGTTCTATTTTTGTACAAATACTGACAATGCTTCTTTCTGAAGACAAACTTTCCAACAATTGAAAAACTTGTGAAAAAGAGAAGCAGGCAGGAGGGAACAGGGACTGCGCCCCGTGCAGAGCATGGCTGGCCAGGGAGAGCCCACTCCAAGCAGGTGCACAGAAGAGCCACCGCCAGCCACCCCAGACAACAAATCTGCTTCCCTCCCCTCAGGACAAATATTAAAAACCACAGGCTAGCAAATGCAAAATTTATTTCAACTGTACAGAACAGAATGTCTTACACTTTGTTGCCATTGTGACCACAAACAATAATATGCATACTGTACAATACAGTGGACATTCAGATATACATCCAGGTGGGCTCTGCAATGGTGTCCGTACTAAATGGCTTTCCGTTCACAGATGAAGAGCACAATATACAGACTTTTCAAGATCTTCTTCCACTATGTACACACTACTGTTTTGGCCACTCTATGCAAAGCACATGATCGAGAGAGCTTACGCGGTGCTTCTGGCGAGTGCGCTCCACAGAAACACTGCGGTCTCTGCAGGGCTGCTGAGGGCTTAGACCCCCACTCCCAGGGGAGCCTGCGTCCTCGTCCTGACACTAGCGACACAGGGCCGCGCTGCACAGCCAGAGCCGCTGCACACCATCGGCGTGGCGCGGGCTCTGTGGAAGCCCTGGCCCTGTTGCATACATGTCCTCTGCCACAGAAGGACCGTCTCCTGGGCCTGGGGCATTAATACTTCTATGTCACAAAAATGGTGTCAGACATTGAAACAAACGCAAACGCTGAGTCAGGGCCGTACTCTAGTTACCTCGCGGCGACAGAAGCTGTCAAGACGGCTCTGACAGATACAAAGGGAACAATGGTCAACTGTAAAAACTTTGGTGCATCAAATACTGGTGTGGCGTAACACACCAAATGACACGGGGTGCCGTGCAAACCACCACGCCGTGGCCACACCGCACTGGGGCAGTGCAGACGCTGGTCATGCCCACGGTATCATGGCCAGTTGCTGCGAGAGCCCCAGGGCTGTGTGGCTCGGTGATACCTCACACAACCCCACCATGGCAGGACGGAGGCATGCAGCCCCACTTCTCAACACTTCCTTCGCTATCTGGCTGTCACACTGGTCGCCACAGGTGACTCAGCCTAGGCGCTGACTTGAAAAGCCCACCCCGGTTCCCTTCCTCACACTAACTGACATAAACACGCGAGCTCTGAGCAGCACAAGCGTCAGTGGCCATCCGGGACAGGCAGGTGCTGATGGGAGTGCCGTTGATGCCCTCACCCGCCATGCAGGCGCAGCACCCCACATGCCAAGCGTGCCCCCTCCTGGAGCCCCGGCACACCCCCGGCCGGTGTGTGGGAGGGGTGGCATGGTGTCAGGGTGTGCTCTGCACACGCGAGGTCACATTGAGTACAAGGCGTGGGAGGGGTCAGGCCACCAGGATCCAGCTGCCCTAGAGAAAGGAAACATGTTATCCCGACTTACGATGCCACCCTGCTCCGAGGCTGGTTTCAGCGAACACATAAAACAGAACTGTGAGGCTCCATTTTAACACTGGCAGAAGCATGCTCTGCCCTTCAAGCGATGGCCAGGTTTGAGTTTGCGGGCACCACTAAATGGGACGTCCCATTCAGTTCTTTCTGAATGAAGCAGGGATTAGCCCATGAGTGAGGCCTGCACACACTCCTTACGACAGCCCTAGCTCTCTGACAGGCAAGGCTGCCAGCCTGCTCCAGAGGGCTGCTGTAAGCAGAGTTGGGCTGCAGCTGGCTGCTGAAATGACCGTGCTTGTGGCTACGCCTGCGCACCTGCAAATGTCGGGGCAGCCAGGCCCAGCGCCCTCCTGAACCAAGTGTGGTCTACAGTCACAGGGTGGCTGCTCAGACCGCACCCGGCCATCCATGCAGGTGGGGCAGCACGGCACGGCAATGAGAGGAGGTCTGCTCCAGGACTGTGGGCTCCAAGCCCCACACGGGCCATGGCAGGGCACAGCTGGCAGAAAGACCGTCCCTTCTGGGGACCTTCCTGGGCCTGGGCCAGAGCCTCGGCACCGCACAGCCAGGGGCTGGGCGCACAGCACCCGCAGCAGCAATCGCTCTCTTCACCTCTCCGTGACTGCGGGACCAACACATGTTAGACTTTACAATGTGGGTCCCCACCCTAAGGACAGAGTCGCGGCCGTGTCGCTGGCACTCAGATCACAAGCCTGTGCGGTCTGGGATGAATATAAAAGTGTCCATACAGCTGTATCCAAAAGGAAGCCAGACAGCTGCTGCACTGAGGATAAAAAACAAGACCATGTGGAGCTTTTACAAAACAACTCCCCGCCGGCTGGCTGAAGGCCCCATACTGGCTTGAGAACCCATCACCCCAACAGGTGGCGGCGAGGCCTCCGCCAGTTACAGGGTCATCCCAGGAACACTCTCCAAGGTCGGTAAAATATCACATAAAGGAGACAAGAACAGCAAGAAAACATCTAAGAAAAGCAGGCTGCGATACAACAAGCATTGTTAAGAAAAGCTCAGAGCGCATTAGTTCTGGTGAGAGATATACGAGCAACAGCTCTTACGAGATGCTGAGCCCATCCTGTAACTATGGGCTGTCCATATACTGTCATACTCAGGGTCTTCCGAGGGGTCTGAGGGCTCCAAGCGAGAAAGGCTACTGCGACGACCCAAGGAGTCTAGACTTGATTGGTCGTCGTCAGCCAAGACGTGATTATGCATCAGGTCAGTGCCTTGCCATGCTAAGACGGATGGAGTGACAGGTGCGACAGCAGAGGTGGGGGAGGGGACGGACAGGAAGAGCCACAACCAAGACATGGGACAAAAGCAAAGGTGATGGGAAGAGAAGGGAAAGAGAAAATATTGTTAAAAAGTGGCAACAACGTTCTTTTCTCCTTATTTATGGCTGGGTTTTAATAATCAATTTATTAGCACAACCCTCACAACAAATCCAAATTAATCATTATTTCAATAAACTCGGTCATCATGCTGTTTCCAAACTGCTATCTTCTATAGATAGCTCTACAAAGCCCTCCCTGAGAAGCCTACAAGCTACACCTATGTCCAAACTAGGGTTCTACAAGCACCTGCAATTAATCAATTCTGTTAACCAACAACCTCCTCTAGGCCATTATATGCAAAAGATACAATTTACTTGGCTAATAAAAGCTATTCTCCATTCCATACATAAGATACATTAAATGAAAAATAATTTTGAGGGCTCCTGACTGATTTTTCGGGTGCTCCTTTGCCAAGACCCCACGCCACCAGCCAGGTCTAACTTACCTCGCCCATCTATCCTGTGTGGGTGCCTCCAAGGGCAGACAGGGCTCCGCGTGTCCCCCTCTTCTGCTACCTGCTCACCATGCTCGCCTGCGCTCTGCCTGGGCAGGGAAGCGGGAGCAGATTCTGCTCACTCTGCCACCCACCAGCCACAGTCTGCTGGCCACCAGGAGACGACTTAACTGCCTGTGCCACTGTGCTCCAAGGACGGCAGGCGGTAGGAGACGGCAGACAGAAAGCGGGACAGCAGAAGCACCCTGGCAGCTGGCTCTGGGGTACTCCTGGGAACCTCAGACTGAGTGGCCTCTGTTCCCCCCAATCGTCACACTGAAGACGCTTGCCCTGTAATGCCTTCTTGGCACCACCCATGACCCCTCTACAACCTGTGAGCAGCTGCTCTGCAGTGAACGCACTTCCTGGACATCCAGGGCATGCACCTCCTTGCCCTGGCTGCACTGAGCATGTCGGGCGGAGGCCAGGCCTGATCTGAGGCTCTGGGCCCTTGGGGTCAGCTGAAAGCGGAATTAGCACGTCCCCAAGGACGTGCTTGCAGGAGGGCTATTGTGTAGGCTGCATGGCTGGAAAGCTCTGCAGGTGCGCTGCCCCACAGGCCCCAGCACAGGTGGCAGCACAGGTGCAGGTGGCACTCACAGGCCTGCTTATATTTCTTCCCCAGCAACTGCAACTAGGATACACACCCCAGAAGAGAGCCTAACCTCCATGGCCCGCCTGCACCCACACACACCCTGCGGGCCACCACTGTACCCAGGACTCTCCCCCGGTGACAGCAAAGGCTATGCTGGCCTAGCACAGAGCCGCCACGCCTGGGGCAGGATGCGCGGCAGAGTGGGCAGGGCTGCAGCAGCAAGGCTCCCACTCACATGCATGTTCACAGCGTGGGACCTCGGGAAAGGTGCGAGTGCTCCTGCCTTGTGCTTCCCACCTTAGAGCAGGGCAGCACCTAGCCCAGATGCAGGCTACCCAGCAGGCGAGGAAACAGAGGGGACGGGCCACCTCGGCCAGGCAGGCAAGAGTAAAGTATCAACTGGAACTGGTTTGTATGTCTAAGTAGAGCATACACTACCCAGTTCTCAAAAGAAAATAAGCCAGGCACAGCCACTGGTGACTACAACCGCAGCACTTGGGAGGCCAAGGCGAGAGGATCATAAATCCAGGCCCAGCCTGAGCAATGTAGTGGTACTCTGCCTCACAATAAAAGTTTACAATGGCTGGGGACACAGTGTGCTTGGAATACATATAAGGCTCTAGTTTCAATCCCTAGCACAGGGATTGAAAAGAAAACAGGAAAATAAAAAAAAAAACTAGAAAGCCAGCACATGAGGGGAAAAAAAACTGCCAGCTGCACATCCTGTCACCTGCAGGGAGATTTTAAAAAGTCACCTTCTTGTCCTCGCCACAAATGGAGATATTTTACATAAGAAACTACATGTGACCAGTAAGGCTCCAGACAGGGTTTTAGGCCTGTTTTTTGTACTCTGAACAACTGCTGTGAATATGCAATACACAATGTGATTATTGTTTCCTACTTGCCTATTTTGAGACCTATTATCTTTCCTGTTAAAATTGTTTTTTAAAAATAAACTACACAAGAGACACACATGAATTTTGTGTACTGAAACCTATGAAACAAATTAATTAGCGCTTACTCTCAAGTATGCAAAGAAAATCAGTCAGACAACAGAAGCCTCACTCCCGGCTGCGCTGATGGCGGCAGTACTAACTCTAAAGGCAGAGACACTGCCGCTGAAGCCCAGTGCGGCCCACCAGGCCCCGTGCAGCGGCCTGGGGACACTGAGCAGCCCGCCTCTCCCAGGGCACTCCTGTCCCTGTGACCCACTGCACTGCCCTCTGCAGCCCTCGCTCCCTGGGAACAGCATGACCAGCATGCCCACAGCTTACTTGAGTTTAGCGTCTGCCGCGTCTTGGCGCTTGTGCAGTAAGCTTCAATGACTTTCAGGATCTGGGCATCCTCCTCCAAAGCCGCTGTGCCTGTTGAGAGACACTCGTCACATTGCCTCCTGTAACTTTTGGTGTTGGGCATTCTGTGTCAGTGCCAAGTGAGACCAAGACGTGGTGACCTGGAGGCAGGCCAAGTGTGTCTGTGCTGCCCAGCTTCACTGTAGCCTTCCCAGCTGACCCTCACACAAGCTGCTTGTCCCTCAAACTCTTTGAAATCACAGCCCTGAAGGCTCCCAATGGGGTGACGAAAGGGACGGAGCAACCCAGCACAGTAGGACCCAGGAGGGACCCAAGGGACCAGCATCACCACTGGATGCCTTCACGGTGTGAGGGTGGGCCCTGGCCGTGTGCTCGCTGCCCCTTCCCAGAGGCTCAGGGGTGGAGGGAGGTCCTGTGGATTCTTCTGAACCTCCGCTCCACACAGGGCCATGCATCCAGAAGATGCCCTCAAGCACCTGCTCTAGGAATTGTATCCATGCGGACTCCAGGGAGTGGGAGGCAGCTCTGGCTCCCAGGCGCCTGTTGGAGCTCATGGAGTCAGCCAACTGCAGCCTGATCCGTGCAGATGCACAGCCTGCCAGGCATGTAGAAAACGGGCACCGAGGAACATGCTGACACCCAGTGGCCGAGGGGGACGGAGACGCATCAGATGGCCCAGCCCACGGCACGGCCCTCGCTCCTGCTCTACCTGGGCAGGGCCTCCCAGAAGCCCACACCAGTGAGGCTGGGCACCCTGCACTCACTCTTCCGCAAGGCAAACTCTTCATCTGAGGGCTTCCGCTCAGGTTTGCGCTTCGGGAGCAGCTTCTTCATGGTCTTGGGGCTCTTACTGAGATCCTACGAACATGGAAAAGACAGGACATGCCACAGATGCCAGAGGCAGGCTCCTCTGCAGCACACGAGAAGCCGGCTGCTCAGGGCAGAGCCACAGTGGACAGAGGTTCCGCCATGAGGCCACACGCACTTCACAGGGGCCTCTGGTGTCAGCCACCAAGTGCCTGCCCCTGGTGGGAACTCTTGAGTAACCCAGGTCTCCCCCGTTCTGCTGGCCCAGCTGAGGAGGAGAACAGGAGACCAACACAAGAGTGGGCTCTGAGGAGCATGGAATACAGGGAGGCCGCGGCACCCTGGTTCTCAGGGGAGGTTTCCTGAGGCCAGGTACGTGCAGGCCAGACTCCAAGGGCTCTCCAGGTGTGAGCACAGAGGGGATGTGCACAGACCAGATGCACACACAGAAGGGCCAAAGCGGACCTCACAGCTATCTCTTAACACAGGTCTAACAGGCCCGAGAAAGGCCCCGCATCAGCTGCAGAAGAGATGCAGAGTATACCGTGCAGGCTCTGGGGCACAGGTGACACCCAGGAGGACCCCAAAGCTATGAGTCACTGCCTGCCTTCCGCAAAGGCACCTGGCAAGCAGGGTGAGCAGTGCTGTCTCCTCCACCAGGCGGAGACGCAGATGGCAACGGAAGCTCTCCCGAGGGACGGGGTCCTCCAGGACTCTCGCCTTTCCCACTTCCTTGCCTGGCGATTTCACCCACAGTACCCTTTGTCTTCAGACCCCAGGACAAAGTGATACAGGACGAGGAGCCCTGGCACCCTGCAGCAGCCACCAAGGTAAGCACTCTGGCCTACCTGCATGACTCAACTCCTGGAGGAAAACCAACTAGACAAGAAGCAGGGGGCGCAGGGACTGACAGCTCCCAGGGCCGCTCCAGAGTCGCTGCACCCTGCTCACAGCGCTCCCACCAACACCACCCTCACAACCGCCTCGCACCCGGACCAATGCCGCTCCCACACGCACCTTCAGTGCGCACTCACACACACGTGTGCTCTAGGTTCTGAGCCGCCACCCTGCGGGTTTCTGGTCACATGCAGAGACAAGAGTTCTCCCTCTGCACCCCAAGGACAGCCGGTGCAGCGGCACCTGGGAGGACCGAGCTGCACACTAGAACCCGAGGTGGCTCGCAGCTGAGGCCTCACCTCCTTGTAGCAGAGTGCGGCTGATGGCCGCAGGGGAGGTGCAGGCCGCAGGCAGCTGAGACTCCAGGGCTTGGGGGTCTTCGGGGGCTCCAGAGGGCCCCAGCTGATGGTGGTATGCGGGGTCCCATGGTGGGAGGGGTGGGGCAGCGTGTGGTAGGCGGGCATCAGCGCCACAGGCTTGCTGTCTGCGTGCTTGCTGGACGGCGTGATGGGGTGCGAGGGGAGCTGCAAAGGACAGCAGGCGCGGCCTGAGCCTGGTGGTGTAGCCCCTACATCCACTCACCCCCAAGGGAGGCCCAGGCCCACGGCCAGGTCCCTTGGGCAGCAGCTCACCACGTCCTGCGTGGAGGACGGCTCCACACCACGGAGGCCTGGCCTCACCAGGGGGCTCCTGGGGCTGGAGCAGCACTAGGAGGTGGCCACTGTGGAACGTGGCACATGCCTGGGTGGATGGTGAGGACAGTCCCACAGTGTGCCCAGGCCATGGGGAGAAGGGGAGGCAAGCACACCCTGCTGCTGGCCACGCTGAAGAAAGGGCCAAGTCCAGCTGCAGGAGCTGCCCTGGAGTCAAGGACGTGTGCCATGCGGCCCCTCACAGAAAAGCCCATCTCTGGGGCAAACCAAGGAAACGAGGCATTGTCATAACCACAGTCCCTCAAACACCTAACTTACCATGGCTGTGACTGCTTAATACAGCAAATTCCCAGGAAACCTACAACATCCCATGAGCCCAACAGTGAAATAAGAAAATGTAAAACCCATCACGTAACACTCAGAGCCCATGACCTCTAGGCAGCCACCCACAGTGAAAAGGTACCCAGGTGGCAGGCGAGCACAGGTCTTGGTCAAAGATGGGACCAGAGCCACAAGGGCCAGTGCCACAGCAGCCAACACTAGCGGAGGGGAAGGAAGGAAGGGGAGGGGAGAAAGAACAGGGATGGGGAGGGGGAAAGAAGGAAAGGGGGACAAGGGGAGGTGAGGAAGAGGGAAAGGGCAGGGACAGGAAGAGAAGAGGAAGGAGAGGAAGAGGAGCAAGGGGAGGAGAAGAGAGGAGGGGAAGAGGGAGGGGAAGATGGGGAGGGAAGAGGAAGGGAGGGGCAGGGGAGGGAGGGAAAAGGAGAGAAGCCACAAGCTCTCAGCTACCACCCATGGCAGTGCTGGGTACAGCCGGGGCTGGATAATCACACACCACACCACCGCACCACCGCACCACCGCACCACCGCACCACCGCACCACCGCACCACCACACCACCACACCATCACACCACCACACCACCGCACCACCGTCACCTCCAACTAACTTCTAGGAGTACAGCAGGGTAAAGCACCCCTCCCAGCATCCAATCATTCACATCTAGCTGGGTCTGCTCGGTTGTCCTTGCTGGGAAACATTACTCAAGGGATGCGTCACCCTACCTGGGACAGTACCATGCACTGCACAGCGTGGACCCGGGAGGCTCTGAGCACAGCCCCCAGATGCTGGCACAGGAGATGTGGAGCACCCTACAGCACCCTGCTAAGGGCCCCTCCCTGCCCCACCCAGCCCGCCCCACCCGACCCTGCCCCTCCCCTCCCAGCTGCCCCAGGCAGACCTAGGTCTCAGCACCATGAGCTGTGTAGGAAAGCCCGTGAAGAGAGGCGTGAGGGCCAGGAAGCACCGCACGCTGCGGGCAGGACGCGTTCCGTGGACTCAGTGCCTAAGCACCGTGTGCTCCTTTCCCAGGGACCCCAGGGACCAGCACGCACAGTCTGGCTTAGCAGCACTGTGCAGCTCTGCTGTGAAATAGGGTCTCTAAAAGCCTACCCACTGCTGAACTCTTCCTAAGAAAAATAATTTTGTGGGGGCCAGGAAGATAGCTCAGCAGCATAAGTGCCTGCTGCAATTGCAAGGTCCTGAGTTTGACCTCTGATTGCAAAAATACGACTTTTTCATCCCCGTTATCCCTTACCCTTAGATTTTTTTTTTTAAATGAATAAATAAACCCTAAATATGGTTCCAAATTACACATAGACCAGGCACTAGGAGCACAGGCCCTCCAACACACAGCACCAGGCCGCTGGGCTGGGGGCAGGGCAGGCTCAGACCCGCGCCCACCATCCCAGAAGCCCTTACAGTGTGAGACGGCACAGAGTGGGGCTTGACGGTGGGGTTGCTCGAGGAGGTGACCTTCGTCTGCCTCTGCAGGTGATCCACCCACTCGTGCAGGTCCTGCTGACTGCTGCACGACACGAGGATCCGCTCGATCATGCTTCCTGCAGGCAGTGAGGAGAGGCGGCAGGGCTCAGGCACCTGCCCCAGCACCACACGGACCAGCCCAGCACGGTCTGGGCGACACCGAGACCGCCCCAGGGCCAGCGGCCACCCGGCACCCAGGCAGCTTGTGTCGATCACCTGATATTTCAAACGCATTTCTATGACTTTCACTGTCCTCAAGCTTTGTGACTGTCATTCCTGTTGTTGGGAGCTTCCCCTGGAAGAGATTTCCAAAGAAAAGTGAGTGCTTCTCCAGTACAGGAACTGACATAAAATAAAGACTAAGTAAGTGACTTCGGAACAGCAGAGGGACCATGTGAGCCAGGCGCACTCCTGGGCACCTCAAGCGCGCTCCCTACAGAGCTGACCTCCGAAGAGACAGAAGGGCGACCCAGAAACAACCAGGGAACAGGCCAAGCCTGAAACAAACAGCGCATCTGCTGGGCTCTGCTCAACATGGACACAAACTGTCATGCCCCATAACAAGGCTACAACACGCAGCCACTGCCTCAGAGGACAGACACAAAGAAAGCAAGCGGGTACCCACCGTGGACACTGAGGCAGGACAGGAACGTGACAGAGCTTTGTAGGAGCTGAACTAAACGCCTCCGGGCTCAGGAAGACGTGCAGGCGAGCAAGAGATGCCAGCGCAGACACTCGCAGGGGTGCACACCGGCCAGGACCACAGTGCAGGGACAGGCACACACACAGCCCCAGCTCACACACAGCTGAGCGCTGTGGGCGCTCTGGGTTAAGCTGCCTCAGAACAGCTCTCCACCACGGGCAGGAGTCTATCAACACCCTAAAACAGTGCTTCCAGACAGGTACGAGGGACCTGCCTCTGGGGGACACATGGCAAGGTGCTCCTGACACCCACAGGGCAGAGGCCAGAGCGGCCTAGTCCCCTCCCCCTCAAAGCCATGTCTATCCAAAACACCAGAGCACATGGCTGGGGAGCTGTCCCCAAGCTAGGCAGCAGGACCGCACGCTGCCAACGCTCCTGCAGCCCGCTCTACCTAGGAAGTGCCACAAGTGCTAGACTACGAGCCTTCCCAGACTACCGATGTGCAGAGTGTTGCACAGCCCTGAGCGGCTGCACAGAACCAAGCTGGGACCCACTTAACCGGACGTGCACTGTGCTACTGCCTCCAGGCTGACATCCACCCCGCCAGGGCCACCAAGAACGGCAGTACATGCTGGTGACCAGGCCTCACTGAGCTCAGGGACAGGGCCTGCCAGCAGAGGAGGGCTCCCCGTGAGCGCCAGCCTCCAGAGACCCCCATCAGTCAGTCAGCTCCTCCCTGAGGACAGAGCAGAGCCCACCTTCAGCTGGCAGTGGAACAGGCACTGGGGTGTGCAACCGAATGCAGAAAGAGTGGGGCTGGCCAGGAGCCCAGTCAGGGGAGCTCTAAGGCGTGGCTCCAGACAGCAGCCCTACCCCCGAAGGTGCAGTGGTCCTGGGTGTGCACACTGCTCACCACTTCACACAGCTGTGTGGCAATGGCAACAAGCCCTTCCCAGGAGCAGGTCCAGCCTCCCCAGAAAGGGAAAAGCCCTGCCTACTTCAACTGCAGTCACCAGTCCTTGCTATGTCAACACAGAAAACGTGCGGCAAAGCAGTACCACCCACAGGAACAAGAGTGGCCGCTTCCAGCCCAGGAGTCCCTGGAGACTGGCCAGGTTCCGGCAGGGGACAGGCAAACACAGCTGCTGCAGTATCACACACAACCACAAGGGGCCCTGCCAAAAGCACCTCTCAGAGAGATGACAGAAGCAGAGGCAGCTGGATTCCACCAATATGGGCCAGGGAGCAGAACACAGCCCAGTACCCTGTAAGTCGGCTCTCACATTTTCTCCAGGGAAGTGGAAGCCTAGGTCACAGGGTAGCTGATCATGAAATCCGTGCTGTGTGTCTAGGGACACCATGTGGCTCCCAGCTCAGCCTGCCTACCCCACTGACCCACAGCCCGTGGGCAGCCCCATTTCACAGGACAGAAAGCAAAACCTCAGAGGAGCAAGGTGCTCTGCAAATGGCGACACTACCACAGGGGCCATGAAGGCCACACCATCACAGGGGCCACGCCACAGTCCGTGTCCTTTTGGGCGCTCTACCCGACACTTCCTCCTCTCAGGCTAAGAAAGAATCCTGGGACATTTGCGCACAGGCAGAAGGTCACACACCTGAACATGCGCACCACGCACAGACCAAAAGCTCAGCCCGCCTGAAAAGGAGGCTCAAATCTCCCAAGAGCACCAACCAGGAACGCAGACGCCCTACCTGGTAAATGAAGCCGCTCATCCTGGGGCTGGCAGACAGCATCAGCAGGAGACTGGGGAAGAGCAGAAGGTACCTTTCGTTCTTCTCCTAATATTAAAAAAAAAGGAAATTTAAACACATCTATTTATGAACATGATCACAATATTTATTTTATATTAGGCCCTATAAAACTGTATCCAACATTACTCTATTTCCTCTCCATAGGTTTCAACCAAATTGTATTAGCCAAACTAAACAGGAACAAAGATCTAAGTTAAGTCTTAACATGTGAGAAAGCTTGGGCAACAGGTAAAGACCAAGGATTGCTAAAATCTTCAAAATAAAATGACACACACAGTGGCGCCTCCATTCACAAACTTAACTCCATGATTCTGGTTGGAAGCCGAACTGGAAGAGAACCAAACCAGACTCCCCAGGTGCTCATCAGAAAGCCCAAGTGCTGAGCTGGACGCGGCTCTCTGCTAAGCTGGGCTGTGACTGGAATCACGGAATCGATGAAGCTCATGAGCACAGGCCTATCGTACAGCCAACCAGACGACAGCAGACCCCAAACTCGTGAACGTCTGTGTCACACCTCTGAATTCTAACCCAGGAAGACATCTGTCTCTGCCACTAGACAGTTACTGAATCTAAAATTTTTTTATGCTCACAGGACACAAAAAGAACAGGAACTCAGAACACTTCAGTGGGGTGGGGAAAACAAGCGACGCTTTGTCTTCCAGGAAGGAGGAGAAACACTGACATAGACCCTGGCCTGCGCGTATGCTGCACTTCCCTGACCCCCCAATACGCCAATGAAGTACTGTTCTCATCCATTCCATAAACTTCTGAGCAACATGAAGGATTTTTTTTTTTTTTTTTTGTACCAGAAATCAAACTCAGGACATCGCCCTCTACCAGGCAGGTGCTGCTGCCACTGAGCTATGGCCCAGGCCCCATGAAAGTCTCCTTAAAAAGCAATACTATGCACTAGAAATTGTTTCAATAAAGTAACCAAACCAAGACACTACACCTAAGACACAAAAATTCCCAAGAACCTAAAAGCAGACACAGAAAGGGCAATGTCAGATGCTCCTGTTCAAGAGCTGATGCATAATCCACTGCCTGAAGCACTAGACAGACACTAGAAGAGGCCCAGCACCTCCTAAAAGCCCCACCCAGCACCAGTCCAGAGGGCCCGGGAGGAAGGAGCTCCATTTCAAAGAAGTTGCTGGCAATGGCTTGTGAAGTTCTGCCCTTGGAGGCCTGTGGCCCTGGCCAGGGACACTGAGCAAGGGCTCAGGAGGGGCAGGCAAGAACACCTCCCCAGGGATGTCATGGGGACTCAGACACGGCGGGGTACCCACCAATGCTGACAGGGTCCACAGAACCCAAGAACACAACATGACTTCCACACGCTGGCTTGCACTTTAAAATCACGTGATTAAGAAACAACGCTGGAGTGATATGAGTGTTCATAAAACATGGGAAGCAGAGCAAAGCCGGGACTTCTTGCGGTATTCCAACCACCACAGCTTCATCCAGAGAGCGTGAGGTTAAGCTTTGAAACTTTTAAGAGTAGGGAAAAATACACATTGTGAGTCTAAGTTTAGTTTGCCTCTTGCTGAATACTTTTTACAGAGGTAAAAATCAAACTTAGAAGCGGATGCCTGCTCAATGACTCACATACACGATGAACGCACGCCATGGACTGCTGGCGTGGAGGGGCATGGTCCAAGAACCTGGCTTCATCTCTTCCTTCCCCAGAGCCAGGGAGATCTGGGACTCCTCTCAGTAAATACTAGTTAGCATGGGTTCACAGGTAAAGGTAAGGGTCTCTCCTGGCTTGGGTCTGTATGTCCCCCAAGCCTCGCGCAGACAGAGGTGGGCTGTTCGGAAGCGGCTCCATCTCCAGGGTGTGATGCTGGGATCCGCAGCGCAATGCCAGCACCCAGCACCCAGGCAGTGCCGGAGGTGAGCACTGCCTGCCTGACCAAGGGCGTGCCGCCCAGACAGAACGGAAGAGGCGGGGCACTGTCCTCGCTGCTTGTCACTCGCTGCTTGCCTGCCTTCTGCCTGCCATGAAGCCTTTCTCCTCTGTGATGCCCCTCTGTGAGCCAGCCAACTATGACCCGAAACCTCTGTACTCGCTGAGCTACACTATGCCTTTCCTCCTTTAACGCTGGCTGTCAGGCATTTAGTCTCAGCAATGAGAGAAAAGTGAGGACGGTAAGAGTCTAACCCCATGGGGAGAACAGGTCAGCCAGTGTCTGCACGGCCCAGGCTCCTTCCGTCCCACTGAGTGCACAGACTCACACTGGTGCACGCTCGGCTCTCCACGCCTTGCCGAGCTCTTGAGCCTCTCTGCTTCGCAAGGATTAAGAGGCTCATACCCAAGACAGAGGAAGCCAGGGCTCCCGAATACCGAAGACCCCGGACACCACCGGAGCCCTTATCCCAAGACAGCGTGGTGGCGCATGTGGCTGCGTACCTCACTCCCTGCACACTGCATCATGACCTGCGACATGTAAACGACGCTGCCCAGCGTCTTGATGTCGTCTCCCTCCCAGCTCCGGATGGATTCCGTCAGGATCTGCAACTCAAGCTCTTTCCTTTTCCGGACTTCTTGGCACTGGACCTGCGAGACACAGAACATGCCCTTCAAAGAGACCGGAGTTCCCAGGATCTCCCATCCTGACCACAGAGCTGCTGCTTAAGGCAGTTACCGCTTCACACACTAACTCGAAAGGACACTGTACTGAATGGCTGTGTGGACTACACATCTGTGCAAATGAATGGCATCAAGAGGAGATGTACAGATTTGATTTTATTTTATGGGGGGGGGGATTGAACTCAGGCCCTTGCGCTTATTCTATTGAGCTATCTCCCTTGCCCCAAATACTATTTTAGAAAAATATCACAGATTTTACCACTTCAAGGAAGAAAAATGTTTGGCTTAACTAGTGTCTGCCACCACCAAAAAAAAAAAATCAAGAACAGTTGAGAGAGGAGCCAGTTCAGGGGCTAGGAGGAAGGCACCGCAGCTGGACAGGACAGCACAGCACAGCACAGCACAGCACAGCACAGCACAGCACAGCACAGCACAGCACTGGGAGAGAGGCCAGCGCCACGCCCGTGGCAGCACGAAGCCCAAGGGTGGAGGCCCGGGAAGAGCAGGCATGCGACCCAACTGCAGCACCGTGCACATGGTGCCTTTCCTCTGAGACCATCATCACATCGTTCTGGTGTCTCCGGGCCACTAAAATAAGAGACTCCACAGCCACGAAACCCTGCCACATGTTTATGTGTATTTCATCTGAATGAACAGTAAGTTCAATTCACAAAATAATTAATTTATCATCTAACTCTTCTGACTGATTATTCTGCATCCACTTGCCACAATATTGTGAAGGAAAACACAACACAATCACTTACTGAGAGGGTTTTGAAGGCAGCCATAGACTTCTGAATATCTTGTCTATCTGGATGATAATCCTTTGGAGAAAGAAACACAATTAGCTTTTGAAATCCAAGTTTTCCTTGCACAGGCGGCCTCCACAGCTGGCCGAGACCATCCTTGTGCTCCACTTGTAAGCCTGTGCACCCTGCCTGCCACCGCCTCTTCTGTAAGGGACGCGTGGGACGGGGGCAGCAATGACACCTGCTCTCTTACAACAGACCCCCCCCCCGCACCCCAACTCAGGCCCAGAGCAGCAGGGCTGCAAGGGGGTGCTGTCACAGCAGGCCGGAGGGCAGCTAGCTCCCCACCCTCTGCCAGCTTGCCTCCTGGTATTCAAGGCAACAGCAGACACACCTTTCCCCAATGTCCCCTCCACTGTCCTACTTCGTAATACAGGCACTTACTGTTGTAACTGCATGCTCCTGACACCATCTGAAAACCAGTCTACATTTTCCAAATTCTGGAACCCTTTCAACCACAGTGGTGAAAGAGAGACTGAGGAGATTAGGAGGCAAGTGCCAAGGAGGAGGAAAACTTTACAGGTAATAAAGTTATTTTGAAAGTCCACTAATCACTACTCTGGGTAAAATGTGCTGTCCTTAACAACCGTTTCTCCACTGGCACATGCACCAGGCCCCTGCAAAAAGCAGCACCTCCATGTGTCTTTCCAGCTCCTTGAGCAGCGTGGGGTACTTGTCCAGGCGCATGAATGGCTTGCTCAGGCCAGTGGTCAGCACAAGGATCCCAGGGCTGCTGGCTCCCTTCGTCTCCATGAACTCTCCGAGCTCCTCACTGGGCAGCAGGCAAGAAAGAGGACACACGTGGTTAGGACACGTGCCAGATGCAACACCTCCGAGCCATCTTGAGGTGCCCAGGAGGACACAGAGGCCACGAGGCCAGCCAGGCATCAGTGTCAGGGCACGGAGGCCCTGTAGGAGCAGCTCTGCGCACAGGGGCTGGAGACGCCTCTGATGGCCAAAGTGTCACATGCTCCCAGGATGCCAAGCGCAAAGCAAGGAACCTCCAGTCATTAACGGCAGCTGAAAGCAGTCTCATTATGACCCTACGGCCCTCTTACAGTCGCCTTCCCGACACTCAAAAGTGTTTCTGAGACTCTGGGCTTCTGAAAAGCTTTTCTCAACCTTGCCAAACAGGGCTCAGGAAGGCAGTGAGGCCTGCAGGGCCCTTTGGTCCTGCTGCTGCAGAGCCCGGACAGCCCCACCGTCACCATGGGACACCTCCGCACTGCCCTCTGCACAGGAGGGCCACTCTCTGTCCCCACCCTCCTCCACTGCCACCACCAGATGCAGCGCTGGGGGTGGAGGACAGCAACCAACACCTGGCAGGGACATCACGCCCTCATGGCCCAGGCCTCCTTGGGACACCTATCTCCTGAAGCCACCCATGCCGACATCCCCCCAAGTGAGGGGAGTAGCAGAATCCGTTTTTCTCATAGCACTAGCACGCTGCAACCGTTACAAACACATCTGCGCAGGGCCTCTGCCCCAAGGCACAATGTATACCAAGGGACAATCTGTACCAAGGGACAATCTGTCAGGTCACAGCTGGCATTTCAGGGTTTAGTGAAACGGCCTCTCCTCAGGACAGGGAAAAGTTAACAAAACTGGACAAATTAATCCCCTCCAGAGACCTCTGCAACTAAAAATGAAGTTACACTGTGGAAGCAAAAGTAACTCCTAACCCCACACAACAGTTTCTCTCTGATGCCCCCAAAGCCTTGCGCACTCAAAGGGTGGGGTGGGAGGGGCCTGGGTCGTGGGTGTGTGACACTCATAGCGGACTGGTCCACCAGTGCATTCGGAGCCGCTGTGAGGCCGGGAGTGGAGGACGGCGTGGCTGGGAGCGGGGCCTTCGAGGGTCTTCCTCATCTCCCTGCCTCTCGCCCCCAACGGCCATGCTGCGCACACCATCACTACTCAGCCAGGCCTCTCTGCCACACCTTCGTGCCTCGGAGCCAGCCTACTATGGGCTGAAACCTCTACAGACCGTTAGGTCAAAATAAAGCTCCCCTCCTTGGAGCCACGGGTGCCAGATGCTACATCTCAGCCATGAGAAACACCAAGATGGGAAGTACACCTTCACAGAGCACCTTTCCCATGTGTACAGGGAGAGAAAGTAACTTCCTGCAGCTGGGGTAACAAAGCGAAGACAGCAGTGACCCAAGGTGTCTAGAGGGGAGGCCAAGCTCTCTCAGCCCAGGGGCCTCAGTGGCAGGGGCACAAGTGCTTCCTGCTGCCACCACCAGCTAGCCCTGAGGGCAGCTCCTCCCTGTGACCTCCCAGACCACCAGTGTCCCAGGATGTGGCCTCAGGCTACCACTCCATCCCACAAGCCACCAAGGGCAGTCTCTGGAAGCCTCCCATGCAATCCCCTCCTGTGTTCCTGCTGGGTAGCCTAAGAAGATGCTGCATGTGCCTTTAGGGCAGAACACAGCCAGCCGCCGAGGCAATGGCACAGAGGACCCAGGCTCTGCCCAAAGCGTGTACCTGAGCACTCTGACCGCCATCGTTGCTGCAGACATCCCCACTCATGGACAAACGCAGACAGTCCTTGCCAAACTGTCGGTCTCGTACTTTCTATACTTCAGCTCCACCTCACACAACAGAAGTGGAAGAAAAACCTCGGCCACATCACAACTGCCTGTTTGTGTGCTGTTTCTCTGGCCATAGTTCTGTTTCAGAGTGGAATGAACGGCTTGAGGCAATGGCTCAGGGCTCTGCCTGGAAATCAGACCCCCCAGAAAGAAGACCCTCTCCTGCAGCACCCAGCCCGGGCCCTGACGCCAAGCCCAGCCCTGCGACGGCAGCCTGACGCTTACCAGCCGATCCCTCAGCCTCCTACCACGGCCTGGCTGCAAGGGCACCACAACCCTGTTGTCACAACCACACCAACCAACACTCAAGAGTTCTTTCTTGAGCACTAACTGTGAGGGGAAACTGAAGCAAATGTCTAGAGAACGCAGGAGGACACCAGAACTCGGGAGGATGCCCGGCAGCCGGAGGACCTGGCGAGCTGCACCCAGTGGGCCCCAGCACGCAGGCATGGCGGCTGTGCTGGCACCTGGTGCCACCATCTGAGAACGCAGGCGGACACCAGGTGGCTGAGGGTCTTGGCCGTTACGCCCCAGGCGACCAGCGCACAGGCACCCCGGTTATGCTGATGCCCAGTACCACCATCTGCGAAATTAGGCAGATACCAGGCAGCTGTGGGGTTCTGCTGAGTCTGGCCCACACCCACTAACTGCACAGAAGCTTTGGTGAGTGTCAGCCAGGCTCCCCCACAGTAAGGAGGGCCTTGGTGGTCCTACCCCCCCCCATAGCAGGAACCTTACTGACCCAAGGCTCCACTGCTCTCTCACCAATGTTGGGTCCAGGTGATCACTGGGAGCTTCAAACATGCCAAAACAAAGTAGAAAAAGGCAATCTCAGTCCTCCAGCCCACCCAGCACAAGTCCAAGAGACAACATAGAAGAACGCAGAAGTTACCCAGCTGAGATCTCTGAAATGATCGTATCTGAAGTCAAGAAGCAAGTCCATCAGGCTACAGAGTATAGAAGATCAGAAATAATCTCTCAGGTCAAAAAAAAATGACAACAAAAATGAAAGAACTGCTTACCACAGCTAAAGAAGACATAGATTTTTAAAAATTGAGAATAGAAAAATGATGGAAACATTGAACGAAAATATAGGAAAGAATTAGAATGCAGGAAACAGACTCAAACAGATATCCAGGAATTAAGAATTCCATTGAGGACTGGGGATGGTGGTGAACGCCTATAATCCCAGCACTCAGGATGCTGAAAACAGGAGGATCACTACAAGTCTGATCTGTGTAGTGAGACCCTTGTAGACCCTGCACTAAATACATTAAAAAAAAAAAAAAAAAAAAAAAAATTCACTGCAAACTGGCAAAACCAGAAAGTGAAATGAAAGCTCTCTTAAAACTAACAAGGAACCAGGAAATAACAATTCAGCAATGACAAGATGACACAAACAAAAACAATATAAAAATTACAGAAATCAATGAAAAAGTCAGCACAAATGACATAAAAAGACTATTTTCAGTAGTAGCACAAAAATTTGTCAAACATGAGAAAATAACCTGACATACAGTAACCGAAGCATGGAGAACCCCACATAGCCATCATCAAAATAAATCTACATCTAGACACATAATAATCAAGATCCCCCCAGAAATTCAACAGAAGAAGAATATTAAAAGCTGTTAGAGAAAAGAAACAGATCACCTACAATGGAAGGCCCATCAGTATCATGGCAGATTGCTCAACACAAACCATCGCATCGAGAAGAACTTGAAAATGAGGCATTTCAGGTCCTGACAGTGAAAACTACTTCCACCCAGACTGATGTACGCTGCAAAACTATCAGATTCAGGAGGGCCAGCCAAGCAGCTCAGCAGACTGAGAAAGCCACAATCCTTTCATATTTGGGCACACCAAGTGCACAGAGTCATTCTGCTTCTTAACAGGATAGGCCAGAGCTGGATGTGGTGGTGAACATGTGTAACCCCAGGCTCAGTAAGCTGAAGCAGAAGGATCGCAGCAAGTTCAAGACCAGCCAAGACTACAGAGGGAAAGGCCAGCCTCCTGCAAAGGCCCCCTCCACAGGCGCGTGTGCGTGGTGGCTCGCATCTGTTATCCCAGCACTTGGGAGGCTGTAAACAGGCGGATCACTATGCGCGATCTACGCAGTGAGCCCCTGTACATCCTGCCCTAAATACAAAAGAAGGAAAGAAATTCAATGGTGAGAAAAAATTCTTCTATGACAAACAACTGAAGAAATTCATGAACACAAAGCCAACCCTACAAAGGGTACCAAAAGATATTATAGAAAGAGACAGAGACTACCACAGCTTAAAGAACCACCACTGAAATGAACCACTAAACAAAGCAAGTGCGCTGGCGAGAGCGCTCAGGGGACTAAGTGCCTGCCTAGGCAAGCTCCGGGACCAGGGTTCGATCCCTGATACAGCATGCCGTGCCACCCCACCCCTGGGCACTCTGGGCTGGTAACCGAGACCTGGTGTGGTGGCACATGCCTGTAATCCCAGCGCTGGGGAAGATGAAAACAGGAAGATCACTATGAGTCTGAGCTGCATGGTAAGACTCTGTACAAAACAAGAAAAGTAGAAAAAAGACAGACAAACAGAGCAAGCAAGTAAAAAGAGGGGACAATACAGAACCAGAACCAACAGCAGAAAAATACCACAATGTGAACAGCCTCAATTCACCAATTAAAAGAAACAGATTGGTAAAGTGAATTAAGAAGAAACAAAACCCAACAATATGCTGCATACAAGGAACACATTTAACTCAAATTCAGACTGCAAGTCAAAGGGTGGGAAACAGTGCTCCACAGGACAGGAACCAACAGAAAAGCTATTCCGAGTGCTGACTCGATCAACCTCAAGTATAATCAAAAGGGATAAAGACGGTCACTACACACCTGTTAGGGGAAAAGTGCAAGGGGAAGAGAGAGCGATCATAAGTATACACGCACCCAACACAGGCGCACCCACTACACAGAACACACTTTAACAGATACAAAAAAGTCCAAGGAGCAATAATACCATTGTAATGGGGGACTCTAACATGTCACTGTAAAGAGACATAACACCAGGCAAAAAAATCAGCAAAGAAATAACAGAACTAAACCAAACTTGTGAACAGACTTAACGGACCTTCAGAGTGTTTTACCCAGCAATGTCAGAATACTTTTTTCTCAGACGCACATGGGACTTTCTCCAAGATAAACCACATACTAGCACACAGAGCATGCTTAACTAATACAAAGGAACTGAAATTATCCCATGCATGCTGTCTGATCATAACGCAATGAAAATGAAAATCAATGACAGAAGAAACCACAAAAACATCATAAACACATGGAAATTAAATAGCAACCTCCTAAACAACCAGTGGGTCACATATGAAAGGTTTTTTTTAATTTTTATTTTTATGTATTTAGTACAGGGTCTACAGGGTCTCACTACACATATCAGAGTTGTAGTGATTCTCCTGTTTTCAGCCTTTCAAGTACTGGGATTACAGGTGCATGCCACCATGCCTAGTCTCGGTCACCATCTCAGCGAGCCCCAGGGGTGGAGCCAGCATGGCATGCTGGGGATCCAACCCCTGTCCCTGCATCTGCTTAAGCAGGCACTTTAATCCACTGAGCTATCTATCTGGCCAGCCCTCGCAAATGAAATTAAAGAAGAAATTAAAGAACATTTACAATCAAACAAAAATGCAGATATAACTTACCAGAACCTGTGGGATACAATGAAAGCTAGAGGGATATATATATAGTAATAAATTTGCACATTAGGAAAACAGAACAAGCCCAAATAAATGATCTTATGCTGTACCTCAAGCTGCTAGAAAAAGAAGAACAAATCAAACTCAAAGTTCAAAGATGGCAGGAAATTATGAAATTAGAGCTAAAATTGATGCAATGGAGATAAAGAAAACAAGACAAAGAATAAATGAACCCAGAGAGCTGGTTCTTTAGAAGGATAAAATTGATAAACCCCTAGCCAACCTTCTCAAAACAAAGAAAAGATTCAAATTCACGCAATAGAAAGTGAAAAGGGTGAAATTACTACAGACCCTATAAAAACTCAGATCATTAATACCTACTTCCAAAATCTTTACTCTGAAAGGATGAAAAACATAGAGGACATGGACAGTTTTCTAGATCCTTATGAACTGCCAAAGCTGTCAAGAAGATATACAAACTCTGAATAACTCAGTAACAGGAAACAAAATTGAAAATGCAATAAAAACCTGCCAACAAAGAAAAGCCCAGGTCCTGGTGGACTCACAGCTGAATTTTACAAGAAATCTAGAAAAGATTTAACGCCAACTTTTCTCAAACTCTTCAATGAAATAGAAAGGGAAGCAATTCTCCCAACCTCATTCCTGGAGGCAACTATTACTCTAATACCAAAACCAGAGAAAGATCCAACCAAAAAAGAGAACTACCGGCCAATCTCTCTAAAGAACACAGAGGCAAAACTCAGTAAAATACTAACACACAGAATGCAGCAAATAATCAAGAAGATTATATATCACAACCAAGTAGAATTCATCCTAGGAATGCAGGGATGATTTAACATATGCAAATCCATAAATGTAATAAACATCAATAAAGCCAAAGACAAAAACCACATGATCACCTTAATAGATGCAGAAAAAGCTTTTGACAAAGTCCTACACTCATTCATGATTTTAAAAAAACTCTAGAAAATCACAATAGATGATCTTTACCTCAACCTGACAGACGTCATCTGAGACACCAAAAGCCAACATAATACTAAATGGACAAACATTGAAGCCTTCACTTAAAAATCAGGAACAAGACAAGGATATCCAATGTCACCACTCCTATTCAATATAGTTCTGGAAACATTAGCCAGAGTAATTAAACAAGAGAGAGAAAGAGAGAGAGAATGGGGGGGGATGAGAATGAATTCCCATTATTTGCAGATGACATGATACTCCACAGAGAGTTCAAAATCTCCACCAAGAGACTTCTACATTTAATAACCAAATCCAGCAGTGCAGCAGAATACAAAGTCAATGCTCAAAAACCAACAGCATTTTTGTTCACAACAATAAACACACCAAGACAGAAACTACAGAAACCACACCTTTCATAAAAAAAAAAAAAAAAAAAAGGAATCAGTCTCACAAAGTAAAAGATCTACACTGTGAAATTACAGTACTCTGAGAAAAGAGACTGAAGAGGATTTCAGACAATGGAAAGATATTCCTTGCTCACGGACAGGAAGAACCAAAATTGGATAATGGCCATGCTCCCAAAATGGCTACACAGATTCAATGCAATACCAATCAAAGCACCATTAGTGTACTTCACAGATTTAGAGAAAACATTCCTAACGCTTATTAGGAACCAGAAGAGACCCAGAATATCGAAAGCAATCCCGGGGAACAAAGGAAAAGTGGAGGCACCACAATCCCTGAGCTGAAATTATACCACAAAGCTACTAGGATAAAACCAGCACGGTGGCATAAAAACAGACCTGAGGACCACCGGAACAGATTAGAAGATGCAGACACAACTATAAACACACTCTGCCACCTTATCTTTGACAAAGAGGCCAAACACATTCACTGGAAGAAACACAGCCTTTTTAATAAATGGTGCTAGAAAATTGGCTTTCTGCTTGCCGAAGGCAAAAATATCATGTCTACCTCCATGCGCTAAACTACAGTCAAAATGGATCAGAGATTTAAATATTAAATCTGAAACACTAAATCTCCTGGAGGAAACAGTAAGTAGAAATCTTACAGACATAGGGGTAGGTAGAGAGTTCATGAACAAAAAACAAACTTAATGGGAAACACTTCGAAAGAATCACCAAATGGGATCTCCTTGAAAAGTTTCTGCACACCAAAAGAAAAAGAAAACCCATGAACCGGGAAAAAAATTATAGCCCATTGCCCGCCTCTAACAAAGGCCATATAAAGTATTTTTTAAAACGCACACACACACACACACACACACACACACACATAAAGAATTGGGGGGAAAAAAACCAGGCCCCCCCAAATTCAAAGACCCAATCAAAAATGGGCACCTGAGATGAATACACACTTCTCAGAAGAAAAAATACAAATGGCAAATAAATGAAAAAATATTCAACATCATTGGTCATTTGAGAAATGCAAATTAAAACAACACTAAAGTTCCATCTTACCCCAGAAAACACAGCTATCATAAAGAGGTCAACCAATAAGGAACGCTGGAAGGGCTGTGGGGAAAGAGGAAGCCCTCGCCCCTGCTGGTGGGAGTGCAGACCGGTGCAGCCCCCGTGGAAACGAGTGCGGAGACTCTTCAGAAAGCCAGGGCCACAGGTCCCATTCAAGCGAGCTACGCCCCTCTTGGACACTGTCCAGAAGTGAAAACACTGTAACACTGATTTTTGTGCACCCGCGTTTATTCTGTTTATTCGCAGCACAATCTGTCACTGCTAAATCTGGGAAGCAACCCAAATGCCCATCAACTGAGGAATGGACCAAGAAGATGCATTTTTAAACAGTGGAGTACTACTCAGCTATTAAAAATGATACATTTGAAGCTTTTATCACTAAATGGATGCACCTAGATACCATATACACTTAAGTAAAATAAATCAGACCTGCATGTGCAAATATCAGTTTTTCCTTAGTGTAAGAACCTGAAAGAGTAAATAAAATCTGGGAAAAGGGTAAAATAGATACTGTGAAAAGGGAATGAATCTGTTCAAAAGAAGAATTTACTGAGCTGAGGAGTATGTGGAGGAGGATGTGGGGCAAAGAGATAACTATGCTGTGGATTTCTGCTGGTCTGTGGAAAGGAGCAGTTACTGCTTAATTTTTTTTTTTTTGTCTTTTTTCAATTTTTTTTTCCGGGCTGGGGAGACAGCTCAGTGGAATAAGCGCCTGCCTGGCAAGTGCAGAGTCCCAAGTTCAATCTCTGGTACCACACACACAAAAAAAGTGTCAATTTCTTTTCCTTTTTTTCTCTTAATTTCTTTTCATTTAATCATGTATTTATTTATGTACTTGGTGCAGGGTCTCACGATGCAGCTTGGACTCATAATGATCCTCCTGCCTCAGCCTCCCCAGTGCTGGGATTAGAGGCGTGCGCCACCAATCTGGTTTCAGGGCCGGTAGCACATGCAGTACCAGTGATCTAACCTTGGTCCCTCGTGCTTGCCAGGCAGGTGCTCAGCCCGCCGAGCTTTCTCCCCAGCAATTCTTAATTTCTTATAACTTTTCTTTTCTTTCTTCTTTTAATTTTGCACACGTATATCTGGTAACCTGAACAACCAATCTGAAGAGAACACTAAGCAATAAAACAAATACTGTCAAATTGAATTATTTTTTTGATTAGTGAAATTCTGTATCATTTGTAATTTTGTTTTAATACTATTTTATATTCTCTCTCTCTCTCTCTTTTTTTCTTTTTTTTTTGCGGAACTGGGGATTGAACTCAGGCCCTTGTGCTTGCCAGGGAAGCACTTATTCCACTGAGCCATCTCCCCGGCCCCCTTGTATGCTCTTTAAAAATAAAAAAATTTAGGAAAGAAAAAGAAAGGTCCTTTTTCCCTTACACTCAGACATGCTGGCGAACAGACCTGTGCTCAGTGAGGACGCTCACGGCAGACGGGTGGTTGGCACAGTACGCGAGGTACAGGGTCCTCATCTGCGGCATCAGGTTCAGAAAGCAGCCTCCCACTCGCTGCTGGGCCTCCGGAGACCTGGAGACGGGGCAGAGAGGACAGCCATCAGTCCCGCACAGTCATGCCCTCAACGCCTGAGAGCCTTGTCCGTCCCGGCTACCAGCCACGCAGCAGGAGGAGCCACGGATCCAGGGGCCAGGGTGGCCACAGCAGCGTCAGCCATGCCCACGCTCTCTGGGTAGGGAGAGAAGAGATGACAGCTGCTTCTTACGCTTTGAGGTCATCCAGCTGGTAAGCTTTCTACCAAAGCAACATCCAGGTTGTCACAAAAACAGCACCCAAGTCACCCTTCACTGGAGGTAAGTTGCGGTAACGGAGGCGTGGGCTTATCAGCACAGGGCAAGTAGGGCACAGGTGGGAACAGGAAGCTCCAAGACTGCTCCTCTCTCCGGCCTCTTGGCAGCACCCTCTTCCCTGCACCCCACTGGTCTCAACCATGATGCGCAGGACACTCAGCACAAACAGAAAGTGTGCTGTCCCCAAGGAACCCTCAAGCAGAAGCCTCAGTGCTCACAGCTTGCTCCAGTGTGCTCAGCAGGCACAGAAAAAGCACTGCAGTAAGTGACAAAGAGAGGCACAAAGAAACGTGGCAGTCCCATCCGAGGCACAGGAAGCCGACTAAGACAAACGATGCTGCCGCCGTCAAAGAAGGATTCTGTAAGAACCTCACAATAAAAACTAAAAAGCTCCAGGAAATTAACAGAACGACAACAGAATCGAAAGAGTAAAAAATATGTGAGTGAAGTTCTAAAACTCCCAGATTAATAGAAAAAACAGAAAATTAGAAGACCATGGCAAGCCATCCCACATCAAGAGGAAAGTTCCAGACACGGAAAACTAGACATAAGCAGTTACTCGCAGAAGTTACCACAGCGCTCGGGGGAGAACCTGCAAGACACATGGCTTCTCCCTAGCGCTCCCCAGGAGCCTCCCGTGATCCGCCTCAGAGACGGCCCTGAGACCAACCATGCTGACTGGATCACGGCCGGCTGTCCGCAGGGCCGCTGGGAAGAGTGTCCGCTGTGGGCCTGACCAGGAAGTGTCTCTGCTTCCCCGCTCCTCCCTTCTCTCGGCTTCCACTCTCCTCCGCCACCTCCTGTGCTGCGCTATGTGTTCTTTGGAGCCCTGTGACCAGGCTAAAATAAACCTCCCTGCTTTAAGCTGTGGGTGCTGGGTCCCTGTCCCAGCACCGAGTACCTCAAGGGTCACATGGGGGTGGAAACATGCTGGCACTCCAATCAGAACCCTAGAAACAGCCATTCACAGCTGAGGGAAAACACGTTCCTCATACAAGAACACAGTTGGACTTAACAGCAGCACCCAGACACCACGGCACAGACAGCAGCAGCACTTGTGGCCACATCCACCAGAGTCCAGCCCCAGCCTGCAGCAAGGAGGAAACATCCTGCTTCACCTCTCTTTCCACTGCTATCATGGTGACCTCAGGGACAGGCTCCATGGCCCCTTAGGCTGTCAGCACAGCTCAGGGCCTCTGCCACAGGCACCAGGTGCTCCAAGCAGGAGAGGATGACCACGATCCCACCTGAGGCCCAGGCTGAGGACAGGTGGGGTCCTCACCTGCCAGCTCCACCTCTGCCTGCTGCGTCTCCCTGACGCAGTACCTCCTGGGCCCACTCCTGCATCTGCCAGCAGTGGCCCTGCAGCCTTTCCACAGGCTTGACTCAAACTCACAGCAACTTTCAACTGTCACCAAAATAGGAGCTAGAAACCCTCACTACCACATTCCCACTGTTTATAAAAAGTAGTTCAAACAAACATCCTGAGAAATAAGGTCTCAGAGAAGTGGATTCTCCTGATCTACAGACTTAAAAATCACAAGACTCACATCAGCAACTGGCTGGGGACAGGAGCCACTGCTGTACTCTCTCCCGCCCAAGCCAGCACCACAAGGCACTAAGGCTGTCCCCCATTTCTCCCCCAGGGCTGGGGCCTTCTGGAGACCACTTCCAGAGAGCAGAGAACATTTCCTGTGTCCTGGTGCACCCAGGCACAGCCCTCTCAGCTGCACAGTGAGAAGCTGCCCATTTATGGGACAGACAGCAACAGCAAGGACCCAAGGAGACACTGAGTCCAGCGCGCTGAGTCAAGAAGGAGCCAGAGGTGGGGAAGCATGCAAGGGCAGGCAGATCACACAGGAGGGCTGAAGCCAAGCGACACCAATGACAGCAACCTGCCCCGTGCACGTGTTCAGCATCTACTTACTTGGTGCATTCTTCTAGAGACTGCACAAGCATTTGCTGGAAGGAGCAGATCTCCTCTAGGTTTCCCATTAGATACGAGATGCTTGCTGAGCTCAACCTACAGCCAGGAGAAACAACAGTGAGCGCGTGTGCACGGCTGTGCTCATGCTCGCCCTTCCCACCCACAGGCCTGCCGTGTCCCAGCCCAGTGCACACACGTGTGCCACGGCAGGCTCCGACACCCAACTGCACTCCATGATTGCAGCCTCTGTTCACTAAAACCAAAAGAGAACAGCGCAAGAGAGGGCTACGTCATGCTTAATATAACTTCTCCTCTAACTCACTTCTCACTGGTCTGCAACGGCCGTAGGTAGGTTGAAAGCACAGTCTGAAGTTCTTTAGAATATTCGTTTTCTGTTTCTAAAATATTCTGTAGCACCTGCAACAAAGAACAAATAAGCGTTACTTAACACCACAAGCATTACCAGACTCCAGATCATGAACTCTGGAGAGGATGGCTCTTCGCCACTGCCCCACTAGCTGTGTGGCTCCGTGTAGTGCCCGGGCGCTTTGTGCCACTCCTGTTCCTGGGTTAACCACGGAGCCTCTGCAACGAAGGACTAAGCTGCCCTGGACCTCGTCTTGCCCAAGCACACTAGGCACGGAGGTGCTACAAAACACCCTCACGCAGGCAAGTCCAAAGCTACTTAAAGAGGAGCCACGGACAACGCAAGCAGTGCACGAGAGGAATGAGTCTCTCCCACACTGGGAGCCACATTCAGTGTCCAGTCCAAGTGTAGGCAAGACTCATCTGTAGCAGCAGAAACTGGGAAACACAGCAGGGGGCAAAGGGAAAGGGGGCACCACGAGGCACTAAGGCTTTCCCCCATTTCTCCCGCAGGGCTGGGGCCTTCTAGAGACCACTTCCAGATAGCAGAGAACATTTTCTGTGTCCCGGTACACCCAGGCACAGCCCTCTCTGCTGCACAGTGAGAAGCTGCCCATTTATGGGACAGACAGCAACAGCAAGGACCCAAGGAGACACTGAGTCCAGAGCGCTGAGTCGAGGAGTACCTTGTGAATGACAGGTTCTACATTAGGACTTGGATACTGGGTACACAGACAAATAATCATCAAAGCATACTGAACTGTACCTTTAAAATCTACGCATACTAATACACAGGCTGAGTACCCCTAAGCTAAAAATTCAAAGCACTCCAAAACCCAAAAATTTTTGAGCACTGACATGATAGTCAATGTTTGACATGAGAGTTGGCAATGTTTCAGATTTCAGACCATTTCCAGTTTTCAGATTAGTACCACTCAACTGGCAAAGTCTATACAAATTTTCCAAAAATCAAAATCAGAATCAGCTCTGGTCCCAAGCATTCTGGATAGGAGACACTACCACATGAGGTCCTGAGTTCAATTCCCAGTACTCCAAGAAAAAGGAAGAGAAGAGAAGAGAAGAGAAGAGAAGAGAAGAGAAGAGAAGCGAAGCACAAACTATCTACAAAATTAGAATGCTCTCCAATATCCTGTATTAGGGTAGCAAACTTAGCTAAAGTTAGGTAACACCCCAGAGCTGACAGCCCTTAGATGGAAAGCAGTTAACCTAAAGCAAACAGCTGCTATCAGCAATGACCAACAGCAGAAGACAGCATGCCACTGTGACTTGGGCAGGGCCTAGGTCACAGGCAGCAGCCACCTGACTCAGTGGACACTTGCCAGAACTGTCAATGAGCACACATGGTTTACAGAAGCCAGCTTCATCTCCGAAAGATGTTATCTCTCAGAGGGGAACCTGTCCCCAAACAACAGTGAGCAGCAAGGCCAGACAGAGGCCAGGACCTCCTCCCAGCCCGCAGGGTACCCAACGTGTGACAGGGACACCCCTGCCCTGGGCCCTTCCACCCACTGGAACACCAATGTGGTACAGCTCCTGAGCACCTCTCCAACCCAACAACATGAGAAACAGCACGGAAGTGATCCACCGGTCAACATGCTCAGCTCCTTCCAGAACTCCTGACAACTGAAACACGGGAACACACATCTAAGGAACCCAAGGGGAGAGTGCTGGGGTGTTAACAAGGACAGAGAATAAAACATTCATGCCAAAAGGCTGCCACTTTACATCAAAAATGCAAACAAGGATGCGAGGCAGGGGTAACGTCCATAATTCCAGCACTCAGAGGGAGGGCTGCTGCATGCTCAGATCCAGCCTGGGCTACACACTTGAGTCCAAGGCCTACCCCAACTGCACACAGCAAGACCCTGTTTAAGCAGGAAAAAAAGCAAAGACTTCCTGTATTCACATTCAGCCTCGCAGCCATCCGTAAATGCTGCGATCACAGAAAGAAATCAAGTACACACTCTCCACAGAATCTCCAAGCACAGTACAAATCTAGAAAGCTTACTCTGCTGTCACCACACCAGTAATCACAATTTGCATCGACTAAAGAGCACTCTCTTCTATTCCTACAGCACACGCGGCTGGGTCAGGGACAAAGGCCAGAAGCCTTCCTAAGCTCACACACTAGTCGCCAAGGGAAGTCCCCAAACACGGTGAGTTTGAGGATCACACGCAGCGCCTGGCTGCACATGTACCGCGTTTCAGCGTCCGTCTGACTACGCTGTCGCACTCCCGGCAAGCCGCACTGAAAACGCAACACAACTTGAACAGCACTGCTCTGAAGTCTCACGTAACACACCACCAGCTCCCGCACAGAAGCTCACGCCGCGCTCCACGCCTCCTCACTGCTCACGTGTGAAGACCTAATCACAGCACAAGGCACAAGTGCACACACACACTCGCGCGCGCCGAAGTGCCCAGAGTCCAGGCGGCGGCCCTCCGAGGGGTGACGGGTGGCCCGTTTCCCTCTAGCTTCCTCTGGCCACAGTACTCACCACGTTGTAATAGCTCTTGTTGATGGCCGCCGTGTCGAAGCCTTTGGGAGGGCTCTTCAGTGCCCCTGATTTGGGGGAGACCGGCTTCTCTGCAACAGACACAGAAGGCGGCTCACTGACATGGCCAGCAGGGCAAAGTCCTCCCGCGCCAGGGCAGAACCGCAGAGACCAAGCAAGGGCTGGGATGGGCTCCTGCCCTGACGCTGCGCGAGCCCTGCACCACCAGGCCCAGCTCCAGGCTGGAGTCGCTGGTCCTCACGCTCCGTGTGTGTCAGTGGGACTCCATCAGTCCTATTCATTTACGGCCATTATTCACAGGCCGTAAAGCTGTACGATCTGCTCACATGGTGAGGCAAATGCACTTGGGTGGTGCAGCGAATAGAAAATGCATGTGGAGGAGAACGGCAGTGAAGGCAGCGGGGAGTGGGCACAGCTCACTTCTGGGCTGGGTCTGATGGCTCAGATTCTGGGCACAAGGGCACTCTGAGCAAGCGGGGGCAGTGCAAAGCATAACCTCGTCACCCACAGGAGACAAGGAAGAGGAAGTCACCTCCTTGCTCCAAAGCCAGGGAAGCCACGCTACCTAAAAGAGCCTCCACAGGCAGCGCACAGGAGCAGGCGGTCAGGTAACAGCCAGTACACCTAGGCCTAAAAGGCGCGGCTCTCCGCACCAGCACTCCCCCAGCAGGGCTGTGCTCAAAGTCCACACACCGCGCCCCAGCTGGCAGGGGCGGAGGGCGCCAGACCTGTGGTACCCACCAGCAGCTCCACGTGTCCCGCCCATTCTGTGCCATGTGCCTCTGTCAGCATTCTGTTAGCACACATCTGCACTGGCTCACTGGGCGGGGGTGTGGGATAACGCTGGTTCTGTCCACCAGCCCGAGGCAGGACAGAACCAGGATGTGCAGCTGGGGGCCAGGGCAGACTGGGCACACCCTGCGCTGAGAACCCCTGGCGCACTTCCTCCCGCACCTCACGGCCAGGGTCGCCCCTCTCCCGAGCTGCCTCTGAGTCCCACCTGGGATCTCCGTGTGCAGCACAGCACTGCCCACCATCTCGCCACACTCCGTGTGCACAAGCTCATGCCAAGGGCTCCAGGCAGGACACAAGCCCAGCCCAGAAGCCTCACAGAGGACGCCCCCAGCTTCCTCCATGCCTGGTAGACTGGACTTCCAATGGTGGAAAATGAAAAATAAATGATTCCCAGGACAGAGAACAACTCCACAGCCAACAAGTTATTTCTAAACCACAAGTAATCTAAGGAGGAAAATCATTTTCCTTCTCAATGCAAACCTGCCAAATGTAGAGGAAAAACTACAAACTGTTTTGGAGTAAAAGAAAAACACTGTCGTTGTAGCTATGAAACGGGCAACTAGGGGCAGGACACAGAGGACTGAGCAGGTGACCTCATGGACGCCCCTCCTCCACGGGATCGGGTGACCTGACCATTAGCCTGCTGTTTAACTAGGCGCCTCACAAATGACCCAGCTTGTGAGGCACCGGCACGCGCGCGCACACACCCCCATCCATCCAAGCAGTAAAAATCTTGGGTGTGTGCTGCTCGGTTACAGGAACACAAGAGCTAGGGGAAGGGAAAGTAGATGCACCAGGAAGCACACACTAGCGCTGCCCATCCATGAGGCTGTGCCGTGCAGAGCACCGGGGCCGGGAGGTCCCTCAACCTCAGCCCAGCTTCACTGCAGGGCTCATGTCCACCTACACAGGGCCTCCTGCACCCCCTGCCTGCCCTAGGCTCCCCATCAGCTTCTGGCCACCAGACCCCAGCGCACTCCTCGCTCACCTTCACGGCAGTGTGCATGCACGGGCCACAGGAGTGGCTGCCAGAAGTCAGCATCTCCTGAGGAGCTGGCTGTGGCAGCGGCAGCCACTAGAACCTGACACGAGCCCTCCCCAGTCCCCTAAGAAAGATGTTTCTAATCTACCCAGCAGCTACCAAACTAATCTACCTCCCTCCTCCCGGGAGTGGGGAAGAAGCCACCAATCAGGCCCTCCTCGGTGGGGACAGCACGCTGAGCAAGGGGCCCAGCCTTGCTGGAAAGCAGAAGGCCATGGCTGGATCAGCGAGGGGACACAAGACAAGACAAGACGGTGGGAGAGAGAAGAAAGCAGGGCCGCTCAGAGGAAGATGTCATAAGACGCAATGAACAGCAAACGCATCTGAGGGAGAATGACATTAAACCTAGAAATGAATACCACGGTGCCAAGCCAAAACCCCCAACGGACAGCTCAACACCCGGGTAAGGCGGCACTGCAAGGACCCAAACTTCATTTTGAGGAGTGGATTCAGCATTAACCCAGCAAAACGAAGAAATTAGAAAAATATGAGAAGATTAAAAGTTGCAGAAGAAAAATTAGACATCCAAGAAGACAGAACAAGGCACTGAGAAGAGGCCAGCCTGGTGCAGCCACCCCACGGCTGCCGGCACAGGCTCAGGCACAGGGCAGGGCCCCTGGGAAGACTGGCAACAGGCACAGCTGTGCAGGCCCCTTCGCAGCTGGGCTTCTGCTCACCTGCCCCTCTCAGGAGCAGCACCGTCCTCCACTCCGCGGGCCAGAAGCTACCAACCTCCTTGGTGCAGGCTGCCTGCTGAAAGTACTGCAGGGCAGCCCTCCCAGGCCTCCCCTAGGTCTTGCCCACCCGCCTGCCCTCCTGCACCACCAGGGGCACTCCGTGCCAGGACACACCATGCCCTCTCCTGGCCCGCTTGGGCGGCCTCCTGCCTGGCACCCGGCTCTAAGGAGGGAGGATGTGCAGACAGGAAACAGATGGGGCCACCTGCGTGGGCACAACTTGATTAGACACCCGCCTTTACACGGACACCTACCTTTGAACATACACACCCTCACACACGGACACCCGCCTTTACACGCACACGTACCTTAACATGAACACCTACCTTTAAACATACACCTTCACACATGAACACCTTTTACACACCCACCTTTACACATGGACACTACTTCACACAGACACCCACCGTACACACAGAAGCAGAGAGCTAAAGCACACACACGCACTCAGGATCTGTTTTACCACACATCCCTGTCCTGTCTGGGGTTCATTCAGAAAATCCCAGAAGCGCTCTCATTTTGCCCATCGGTACTATAGTGTCCCCTCTTGCTCCACGGACCTTTTCTGCAATCAAAATCTTGACACCAGGCCACTGTCACACCTCACAGATCTTCTTGGTCTTAGGCAGTGAGGCTCTTTGGTCTGCCTCAAGCTCAAGCACTCCTGTTTGCCTCAATAGTGGCCTTTTGCAGCTGGCCCCCCTGACCCAGGTGTGTGACTGCTCCGCTCCATCAGTCTATTAAAGCACCCACTCCCCTTCTCGCAGCTACCGCCTCCTCCCCCGCCACACACCACCTCTGCTGACCGAACATCACAATTCACGGGCAGGATGCACAGGACTGCCCCGTGATGTCCCTGCTCACTCCAGGAGGCCCCTGCTGAACAGACATGAGGGTGGCTCGGGACCAGACATAGGTGTGGACAACTGTGGCCATGCTGTCACAGGGGAGGCAGATGACCGGGGGGAGGGGGGTTGCTGGCAGCAGAGAAGGGGCCACAGCGCCCTTCCACCATAAGGCGGGCTCAGAGGTAAGGGCCAAATGCGGCTCAGAGATGTGCACAGCATACAAAACAACTGCTCTACACAGCAGTGCAAGCAGGCCGCAGCTCAGCAACAAGGGGGGGGGGGGGGCCTGGGAATGAGCATGGAAGACTTGCTCCCAAGGCCATGAGTGCTGGCCTCTGAGGCCTTCCCACATGCCGTGGGAAGAGGAGACGCGGCACAGCACTGGCCTTGGGTGGCCTGGGATGCTTGTCCTCTCATTGGTATCATGTCAGCACAAAGTAGAAAAAAAGAACACCTCCGGCCCTAGAGGACTAACAGCCTGCTGCAAACTGCTCTCCACAACCTTCCTGGCGGTGTCCAGGGCCACAGGATCACCCACCAGAAGGCAGGGCTGCAGCTCAAGCGGGGGCCTGTCCTGCGGCCTGGGTCCCTTCCCTGCAGGCTGCAGGCACAACAAACTCTGCTCACTCACAAGATGAGTAACTGCACAGAAAGGCAGCTGTCACTTTTTGTGAAAAACAAGCAGAAAATATTAAAAAGTGCCTTAGGAAAGTGGTGATGTGAATGCTCATTAAAGACCTGTGGACCAAGCCAGGTGTGGTAGTGCACACCCATGACCCCAGCACTAGGGAGACTGAGGCAGAAGGCTCCCCACGAGTTCAAGGCCAGCCTGAGTTACATAGCAAGACCCCATCTCAAAAAAATAAAAAAGCCTGTGGCCCTGCAAGCAAGTGACTTCACACAAACCAGCCAGGCCCTAATTAACACTTGAAATAAATGCATTTCCAAGACAACAGGTAATAAGCTACCTAGAAACACAGAAGTAAGGTCAACAGATTTGAAGATCACCTACAAGAAACCTCCAGGGAGGCTGTGAGCTGTGGGGCTCAGCGACTGCTCCCAGCCCCGCCCCGCCTTCTCCCACCACACTGACCCCACCACTGAGGCCTCCACCGAGCTCAGCAGCAGCAACCAGGAAACGTCTGTAGCTGTGCAATACAGCAGAGACTCCAGGGTTCACACGCCCAAAAACAAGCAGGGAAGGAAGAAACTAGCGCGCACCCTCCGTAAAGCTGCATGTTACGAGTAAAGGAGCAGCACTTCTGATGCCAATGGGAGATTCCTACAGTCTTCAAAGGCATCTTCAAGTGGAGCTACTTCAAGCAAAAAAAAAAAAAATCATACTGAGGCTGAAGCACTCGCACACAGCGGTGCAGCACAACCGGAACGCGTGGGAGTCTGAGCACTAGAGGGTGTCCGGCCGGGTACGTTCCGGCAAGACACAGGCTGGCCGCCTGGGGCCCACGGAGCACTGATCCACAGAAGAACAGCACCAAACAGATATCCAGCAGCAGCAGCAGCAGCAGCTCTCGGTGTCAGTTTGCACAGACAGTAAGGACACTTTTAAATGAAACCAAAACATAACAAAAGAAAAACCCTCACCTGAAGGAAGAAACGATTCCAACATCGCCAGGCAGAGGGCTGTCTCA